CGGGGGTTCGAGGTTACAGTGAGCTATGATTGCACCACCGTATTCAAGAAGTCTGGGCAACAGAGCGAGATCCTGTCTCTAAAAAATAAGTACATACATAGAAGAGCCCAGCTAAAGTGCTAGGCCAGGACGGGCTCTGGCTCAAGCTTGCTCTCTTCTGTTCGTTCAGTTTTTATACTGAGAAATGCCTCATTCACTCAGTTGAAATGTCGGCTCCTCGCTGGGCACAGTTGCTCATGCCTGTAATACTAGCACTTTGGGAGGCTGAGGCAGGAAGATTGGTTGAGCCCAGGAGTTTGAGACCAGCCTGGGCATATGATGAGATCCTGTCTCTACAAAATACAAAAACTGCTGGGGTGTGGTGGTGTGCACCTGTGATCCCAGCTGCTGGGGAGGCTGAGGCCGGAGGATCTCTTGAACCCAGGAGATTGAGGCTGCCGTAAGGAGAGATCGCGCCTGGGCTCTCTCAAGACTGTACTCCAGGCTGGGCGACAGAACCAGACTCTGTCTCAAAAAGAAAAAAAAGTCAATTCCTCAGTGAAGGCTGACCCACCCTACTCACTGCAAAACTAATCACATTTTCCCTGTGGCTGGTCTCACCCTGTATAATACCCTCCTCACCAACCATGCTGTGGTGCTTTATAAGAGTTAATTTGCTTTTAAATTGGTCAATATATGCACATGGTGAAAAATTAAAATATAAAAGGATCTAGGAAAAGTGAATTTCCTTCACATCCTTGACCCCAAGTTCCCCAGATTCCTTCCTCATAGAAAAACTACAACTTGTTTTTCTTCTTCCAGAGGAATTTTATGCATAAGCAAACATATATATCCCTAACTGTCCTCTTCTTTTTTTTTTTTTTTTTTGTGACAGGGTCTCACTCTGCTGTTCCGGCTGGAGTACAGTGGTGCAGTCATAGCTCACTGCAGCTCGACCTGTTGGGTGGTCCCCCTGACTCAGCCGCCCAAGTAGCTGGGACCACAGGCACACATCAACAAGCCCAGCTAATTTTTAATTTTTTTGTAGAGACAGGGTCTCACTATGTTTCAAGTGATCCTCCTGCCTCAGCCTCCCAAGGTGCTGGCCTTACAGGAATGAGCCACTGGGACCGGTCCTCTTTTAAAAACCCAAATAGAGGCTGGGCATGGTGATGCAGGCCTGTAGTCCCACCTACTGGTGAGGCCAAGTTAGGAGGATTGCTTAAGCCCAGGAATTTGAGGCTAGAGTAAGCTTTGATTATGCCACTGCACTCCAGCCTGGGCGACAGATTGAGATCCTAAC